GGCGGGGCGGGGCAAAGGAGCGTGCTCCGCCTCTGCGCAAGCGCTCTCAGTCAGCGCGGGTAGGAGGGGACGGAAGGAGGAGGAGGAAGAGGGGTGGGCAAATTTGGAACCAGCCAATGACAGCAGCATTGGCCGAGATCTGGATCGACGCGGAACCGGGAGAGGACGAGCGCGGGGCCTGAAGGGAGGGGTCCGGAGCCGGCAGCCCAGGAGGGAAGACGGAAGTAGAGCGAGGACAAAATGGCCGCGAAGGTTGTTTTGCCCATCCCCCCAAGTCTTCATTCTGTTTCCCCCAACCCCCGCTTCGGCGTTGTACGGGGTCCTCTAGTCCCTCCCGGATTCCTTGTTCCCACGCTTCTGTCCAGTGTGGCTTTGGGCTAGGTCAGAGCACTAGGAGCTGGGGGACGGGGGGAAGGTACCGACCCCTGGGCGCTGCTTGGGTGACTTGCTGGGGGCGGGGGTACGCAGATGTGGGGCTGGAGGGAGCCGCGCCCAAGCGGGGTAGGAAATATTAGCCGGGCCGACCCCCAGAAATCTCAGTCACGATGTTGCTGAAGAAGCCGGCAGCCCTCAAGGCAGAAGTTGGAGGGGCTCCGGCCTCTCAGAACTGCCTGGGCCGGATCCTGTGCCGGACCCCCAGCGAAATAAAGGGCCAAACCTGCTTCCCCGAGTCCAAACAAGTCCGCCACTCCCCACCTCCCGCCTAAAACAGGTTAGGCTTCTCGACTCTCTCCCCTCACCCAAATCCGGCGCTTCTCAGTTGTTTGTTAAAGAAAAGAAAACCCGAGTTCTCTCCGTGTAGGAGAATCGGGCATTAGGAACCTGGGTTCCGATAACCCCGTGTCCTTGATTTAGACCTTCTAGAACCTCTCTTATTTTTAGAAACATGATGTATTTTTCCTTCCTTGACTTACAAAAAAACCTAAACGACAGATCGTTCAGGGGCATCTTGAGAACATTAGTAATCGAGTCCGCAAAACAATAGTACTTGTAAATTGTGGTGCGTGGTGGCAGGTATATGGGCCTTGTCATTCAAACAGCCTTTTACAGTTCCTTGAAATGTTTCCCAGGGTGTTCTTTCAAACAGGCAGGGCTGCTGCTGTCTTGTTTAATAAATAAATGGGCAGATAAATGAAAAAGATTATTTTGAAACTACCTAACAGTGGTGTGGCTGGAATAAGAAAGGCCTTCCAGACAGTGCCTCCAAAATCTGTCAGAAGAGGACACCTTGTCCTTGTCAAAGCCAGTAAAGCCTAGAGACAGATTAAACCTAAGAAGGAAGAATTTTCTTTTCACATTTGCCTTTTCGGGGGCGGGGGGGAGCGGTAGCAATGTTGGCTTGAACACGTGGAGGTATAAATTTAAGATTTCTACTCACCTCCCAAGAAATTAATTTTATATGATGCTTTTGCAACGTACAGAGTGCTTTCATTTGTTATATCATGCAATCCTCAAAATATTTTTCTGAGATATGTATTATACGTCCCGGTATTAAGAGAAAAATGAAGTTCAGAGATGTTATTTGTAGAATTTACAGCTGGCTGAGCTAGAATGGAAGCTAGTGCTTTTGATTCCAGAATCCTTGGGGGTTTTTTTTGTTACATTATAGTATAATTGCCTTTCTAGAAACACATGTAACTACACAACTCAAGAAGAAGTAAGATGCTGTGGGAGGCTCCTTTCAATTTTCTTTCGTATCTACAATCTTCCTTTTCCTACTCAGCCTATCAAGTACAATCTCTAACCTGTACCCTGCATTTTGCCCCTTGTAACCTCGGGACTACCTACAACATTTTAACTATTGTATCACTGGAAAGGAAAGCAAGGGCCCAAATCCAGTGGCTGGGAGTGAATAAAGAAAGTAGAGTAGGTAACCTGTTTCCAGTCACTCAACATACACTGCAGAACATGGACTGTGCTCTTATTAAATAGAATGATTCAGACTTTATGTATTTAAAGCTCAGTAAGATCAGTGTCCTGTCTCCACCTCTTCAAATACACAAGGTTTCAGACACATTCAGGATGGAAAATTAAAGTTTGGGGGTGCATAGGGACTGCAGTAAAGAAGTCTGAAGCAAAAAAAAAGTCCGAAGCCTAGGGTTTCTGACGTAGGGATGGGGTCAAGATGAACATATATGAGTCCCTGTCACGTACCAAGCACTGTTCTAAGTGCTTTACATGTATTACCTCATTTAACTTGTGAATTTTTTTTTCCCCCAGATTTATTTGAATCTCTCAGTGTTTACTTTTGAGATTGTTTGAAGCCCTTAATGTGTAGTTCTGTTAGCACTTCACCTTGGTGTAAAATATTTGCTTCGTAAATATTTTGATAAAGTCCTTAAGAGCAGGATCTCTGTCATAAGATCCTGCTGAGCACCTTGCTTTGTGAGAAAATAGTACTTGGTATATTTGTCACTGAAATAAATAAGTAGTAGATCATATTCAGACTGAGTTCTGTTCTTTTGGCAGCAAGCTAATGAACAAATTTTCAGTGCACGTTATATGACCTTGAGCTTCCCCTACGGTATCACCTTATTTATTTTTTAATTGCTGATGCAGATATATCTGTAATAAATATTTGGTTTTTGTGATCAAATACAGTCTCAATTACAAGGCAACTTAGAAGTTAAAATATAAACAGCTTAACACCAGAAATGAAGCAAAATTCTATGTCTTTTTGCAGCAGCAACTCTGAAGTTATTTTTATACAGTGTTAACAACGAGGGCATCGACTTCATTATTTTCCAAATTTAAGTTTGATTTATATATTTTATTGAAACGGTTATTCTCCAAACATTCACATCATTCCATCAGTATCTTCTTCCCACAAACATTTCTTCCTTCTACTTTTTAGCTAACTTACTTTTTTTTGTTTGTTTCATATTAAAGGATCAAATTTATTTGAAAGTTAATAGAATATGGTTTGAAGCCAGTAGTGTCTCAAAACTTTATCTTAAGCCCAGAGCTTGCCATATCTGAACCCAAAAACCTGACTCTAAGAGAAGTACACTGTCATTGCTAAAACTTCAGTACCTTATCAGTCAGAATTTTCAATTCCTTAGAATTTCTCAGATTTTAGGTAGTTACCTGCTTTGTGAATTTTTCTGTAGATTTCCAGTGTGAATAGATGTCCAAAATCTGGATATTCAACTGATATTCTAGCCTTTTAATAACTAACATGTTTAAATAACCTAAATCTCCATATCATGCAAAGGGGACTGATTCCTGCTTTCAAAGGCATATACAGGAAACCTTGGGTTCAAAGGTAGTAAATAATGATAAGAGCAAATTGCTTGTGATGGTACAGCCGCAGCCTCCATAGTGTACTTGTTTGGCTCAGGTACTCTAGAAATGAGAATTCTCAGAGTTACATAGCAGAGGTGATAGGTTACCACACTACTAGAAAAATAAAAAAGAGTATGGAAGGGGTTTCTATCTTACAATGAGGCAGTGTTAGTATAAGAAGCGTTCCAAATACGCCAGCCTTCTTAAATTAATAGCAGACATTCCTTATATCACTTCCTCAATGTCTCTTATTTCCCAGCTTTTTTTTTTTTAAGAGGAAGACAAACCTCAGATTACAATTTTCTCCCGAGCATAAACCCCCATTTCTTAAAGAACCTTAGAGGGAAATGCATTTGCACTATATGAGGACTGTTTCATGAGAATTAAACGTAGAAATGAAAAACCAGAGAAGTGGGGCCAAATCCCAGATCTCCCTTTTCCGTTCAAGCATCTGATTCCACTTTTAGAAAAAAGGTTTCATCTCCAGATTCAGCATGGCTTTCTCTTTTCTGTAACTTGCTGCCCTTTTAATAATAAATATTTGCACCAATGGTGATCTGTTGACATTTGCCCTAAGGTCCTTGCAGGGCTATTTCAGATCTACCATTCTTGCCATAGGATGAATTTGACTCACAGAATAGTCACCACCATTAAAAAGGCAAGTTCTTGTATTGGAAGCTGCTGCTTTTCTTTTTTATTTCTCACACACCTTTCTTCCATGAATCAACTCTTTGATGGTAATCCTGGTGAATCACTTCTGTTCATTGTTTCCAAGTTGGTGACAATTTGAATGTTAGCAGTCACTAATCCAGCCCTGTTCTGCCACCCAGGAGTTATCCTCACCATCCCTTCCCTAAATAAAATTCCCTTTCCTTCCAGACCTGGACTTCCTCAGACGCTGGGAAATTACTGAATTTCTCTGTCTCTCAGGAGGGAATGATTATGACATACTTATAATGCCATTAGGAAACGTTGACGATCCCTGATCTTTTTGATAATTGAAGGCCTAGAATTATCAAAAGTCCCAGGTTCACATCCTTCTCCTAAAATGAAAGAAATGGAGGAAGCTCCAAGTTTGGTGTGATAGTAAACTGCCTTATACCATTCCTCGACATATTAAGGGAAAACTGATCTAAGCTCCCTTTCTAGTTTAATCAGTCTTAAAATGCTGATTTCGTATGTTCTCAGAAAAGAATGCAATGATACGTCAGATGACCTTTTAGCAACTCTGAAAGATCTTTCTCTAAAAGACTTCTAAGAACATTGTCAAATGACACACAGTGAATGTTTTTTTGCTCCAGAGATCCAGCAGGAAGATCCTCAGAGGTGTCTGATTTGAGGGACGGTCCACCATTGTTCCAGCATGTATTTCTGATATCTGTCAGTAACCCTCTGAACATCATTAAGACAGAAAGTTCTTCACAGTCCCCTATCACACATTTTGAATTCCTTTCTCAGTTCCCTTATAGTTGAATAGAAGTGGGAGGTTAGTAGTGGATAGAGGGGGAGAAACTCAAATCATTCTTCACCTCCCACTAGTTCAACTCCTTGTGAAATTAATATCCAAGCCTTATGGTAAATGAAGTCAGGTCAGAAGAAATGTATTTCCTTTTTGAAATTTCTCAGAAGCAGTGTGCCCCGTACATGGTGCAGCTCGGTGAAATATAAGGCTGTGGGTTCCACTTGACTCTGAATAATCACAATAATCCAGTAGGTTTGCAGAAATGCATAGAAAATTTATGAACAACATCTCATTTCTTCTTGACAATGGTGAGCCGAAGTATTGATACAAAACATCTCAGGGGAGAAGTTTTAAGTGTGTTCAGTTCCCCTTTCCCCAACCTTTTCCACCCCAGGTCCTGGTCAACAAATACACAGATCTGGACCCCCGCTCTAACCCCACTCTGGTCTTGAGGCACCATGAGATGCCTTTTTGGAGAGGATCAGTTTACCTCCTTTTTCCTGTTTGGTGTCCTATAAAGAAAGTGCTCATTTGAGTGGGTTTCATGCAATGCTCACTGCTACTGAAATGGCCTTTCATCTGGTTGGAGGGGGTTGTGTGGCTGGTGACTGGGCTTCAACGACTAGAAGCGTCCTAAGATCCTGACTCCGAGGAAAGCATGGGAGTCAAGTCCACTCTAACTCAGACGCTTCAGAAGGCTCTGCTCTGGCTGGGGATCATGCTGGGTGCGGTTCTGCTTTGGTCAGGGTAGCACGGTGGACTTTCTTTGGTTCAGAACCCCTCCCCTCTGGCCCCACTAGGCTGTACGTGTGGGTGGCCAGCCTCGGCTGGGGCGCTGCTTCGGTCGACAGTGTCCGCTGGCTGCGTGAGGCACTATTTGCTGTGGAGCGCGTGGAGGAGGAACCCGAGCGCGAGCTCTGAGAGCCTGAGGAAGAGGAACCAGGTTTCACGAGGCGGGCTTTGGGGGCTTCCGCATCTTCCCTGAAGAGAAGAAAACAGCAGAGGTCAACTTTAATCCTGACAAGACCGCGATAGCTTCCACTATGGTTGCTTCCTTCTGAGGTTTCCCAATAAATTCCTCAAGCTGTAAACTTCACGTGATACCTCTGGAAGGCAGCCGTTTAGGGGAATGGGGACTTCCCCTGACCCCGAGACTTCATGGCTGACGGACACACATGGATGTTTTCTTAGCCCTGAAGTCAACTCTGTTACTCTGGGAGAGTAGGCACTTACCGCTGAGACGGAGTTGGGGTTTGTCTACAAAACCCCTTATTTATTTGTTTGTTTGTTTATTTTTTGGTGGGCAGCAAAGCAAGGTTTACTGAGGACTGCAAAGTGATAGTACAAAGCTCCCAAGGAGGGAGAGGACCCCAGGGAGTTGCCCAACTCTCTTATTTTTTTATTTTTTATTTTTTTAAGTCAGCTTCAGACCCTGTGTGGAGCCCAACGTGGGGCTTGAACTCACAACCCTGAGATGAAGAGTAACTGACTGTGCCCACCCAGGCATCCCTATATAAACCCTTTCAGTGGCCCAGAATTTATGTCCATTCTTTATCATAGGCACTGTATAAATGGAAGTGAATCAGAAGTAACATAAAGTTGATCTTTTAAGATAGTTTCACAATAAAGGCAAACTGGAACTCCTTATCTAATCAGAATAATCATTTTAACAGATTCATAGTTAAGAGGAAATGGGAGGGGCACCTGGCTGGCTCAGTTGGTTAAGGTTAAGGGTCTGCTTCAGCTCAGGTCATGATATCAGAGCCCTGGGATTAAGCCCCAAATTGGGCTCCCCGCTGAGCAGGGAGTCTGCCTATCCCTCTGCCTCTACCCTGTCACTCCCACCCCCACTGCTGCGTCCCTCTCAAATAAATAAAAAATCTTTAAAAAATATGAGGAAATGGGACATTTATGTTGGCTGGTCACTATAGAGCCAGCTCTGGAAAGGAAGTCTAGTAGAAGGGATGTTGAAGGGAGGTTTACCTAATTTCATTAGGTCTCTCTTCTTCCTCGTATCTCTCTTTGTCTTTCCTTCGGATCAGCAGCCACACCAAGAGGAAAATCAGCAGAGCTCCAGCCACCATGCCCGTCACTGCTCCTGCTATCATGCCGATGCTCTGTACATCTGTTTTCTCAGAAACAAAAGCAGAGGTAAAACGAAACATAAGCCAAGAAATACACGCACTCGGGGACCTGGGTGTCTCAGTCGTTAAGCATCTGCCTTCAGCTCAGGTTCTGGGATCGAGTCCCGCATTAGGTTCCCTGCTCAGCAGGAAGCCTGCTTCTCCCTCTCCCACTGCTTGTGTTCCCTCTCTCGCTGTGTCTCTCTCTGTCAAGTAAATAAATAAAATCTTAAAAAAAAAAAGATATGAACTTAAAAAACAGAAGGCCTGGGATGCCTGTCTGGTTTAGTGGGTGTAGCATGCGACTCTTAATCTCAAGGACTCTTGATTTTGAGGTTGCGAGTTTGAGCCCCACATTGGGAATAGCATTTACTTAAACAGAAACATAAGCCCCAGGCAGGGTGAGTATTTCCAGATCTTTCTATCTTCTTACCCTTGCTGTATGACCAACCCCCTCGATATCAAAAGGTAGCAGATCACGCCACCCCAAAATATGCCTCTTTGACATTAGGACTATTTTAAGCTGGTTTTTTTGAGGTAGGCTCCATACCCAAATTGGGGCTTGAACTCATGGCTCTGAGATCAAGAGTCTGTCCTCTACTGGCTAAGCCAGCCAGGTGCCCCGCTTAAGCTGATTATCTCTAAGAAACAGCAGACACAGAGGAGAAGTTCTAGAAACAGAGTAGAAGTTACCCTTTTATAAGGGAAATTTATATTTATAAAGAAAATCTCCATTCGGTCCCCTCCTGGACATAATAAATTTCTTCAGGGAGCTGACAAATTCGCCCAAGTTCCTAAACAGAATTAGCTACCTCAGTGCAACTACTGGATTTATTTTAGCACTAGCCATGTCCTTCTGGAAATAAAGGTTTCGACCTTGACTTTCCTCTTCCTTGTGATTAAAAGTGTTTTACACGGAACCAATGGGAAAGCAGGAGCGAGCCCGTTGGATACTTACACCGTACAGTGACCCGCACCACACAGCTTTCCTTCCCAGCCTCGTTGCCCGCCGTGCACTGGTAGAGCCCAGAGGACGACATGGTGAGATTGTGCAGCAGAACTCGTCCAGGGTTACTGTAGTCTACACACAAGCAGAAGGATGACTGTAATCCTCTTAGTCACAGGGTCTCTGTCTACTGCTTACCTTACTGCGTCATTGACCTAAGATTCTCTAATACAGTGTGGAAGGATGAGATGATCGATTTTTTTGGAATGTGGAAAGGAAGGTGAACATTCTTTGAAACTGCACATCCTCCAGACTTAACAAAAGACTGGGAATGTGGGAGGGACAGTAAGCATCGTAATTAGCTATCATGGATACCCGATACATCTCTCCCTCGCTTCTTCTGCCACTTTTACATGCCATTTGAGGAAAGAAAAGACGGGTGTTTTTTTTATTTTTTTGTTTGTTTGTTTGTTTTCTGTCCAGGTTGACAGATGAAAAATAGAAGCTCAAAGAGGTTCAGCAGTGCGTTCAAGGTCACATGGTGAGTTGCTGACCAAATGAGACTCTAAGTTCAAGGCTAGAGTACCATTCTGTTGTCTCAGCAGACTAGTGGAGAGATGACTTACCAATCCTGGACTTGGGAGGGAGACGCTCATCCTCTCCCTCCTTCTCCCGGAGTCGCTGCCAGTAATACATGATGGGCTTTGTGCCAGAGGCTGACTCACACTGCAGAGTCACGTCACTTCCTTCTGTCAGCTCTCCTTCCAACTCGCATTTGGGCTTTGATGGTCTCACTGGCAAAAGGAAAAAGCTTCAAAGATCGCCAAACACCCAATTCAGTGGAAGAACCGTGTCCCGTTGAGCTGTTTCTCTAGCCGTCTGTTACGGTCCACTGCTGAGTGGGTCTTTTGGTACGTAACCATGCTTTACAGCACCCCCAAAATACACCCTCCTCCACCCCCTACACACACATACACCCAATCCCAGCGCCTTCTGCCGGTGCCACTGTGATTTTCAGAGGCTGCCCCAGAAACTCCCTCGTCCCCTCTCAAGACACTTTTCAAAGTTGAGTGTGATTTTATTAATACTGAAACAGGGACAGAAACCCATTCACTTGGACGCAATTAAATAGAACTTAGTAGCTTTTGCTGCCAGAAACCAGAAATGGAGTTGAATCGTATCTGAGAGATGTAAGGTAAATATAAGAATGCCATTTAAACATGAGAGGATATTTAAACTTTGTAAGTGAGCTCCCATGGAAAATCGTGATTATTCTTTCTTCTTTTATTATGTCTAAAATATAGAACGTACTTCTTCCCAGGAAACTGGACTTTGGGGCATTTGGCTGTTCCTCACAGAGACTGTATTAATGAGATGGAGGTGTTTACCTTGGCACTCTAGCTTACCTAAGACTTTCAAGATGACATGACTCCACACGTAGCGCCCTGAATTCTTCACCTTGCAGCTGTACCGGCCCTCATCGCTGGGCTTCAGAGGCTCTATCTGCAGGGAGGCGTCTCCTGCCAGGAAATTGGAAGCAAAGGCCACTCGGCCCTTCTGCTCCTCCGTCAGGTTACTGTAGACATGATGGCTGGAGTAAGTGATCACCTGGGGGACGGACCAAGGCAGGGTGTCAGGCAGTGCGGATCTCGGCCTCCATCTTTTGCTGATGTCAAGATGAGGAAAGGGAACACTCCTAATGGAAGAAAGCAGTCATGCCCAAAGCTGATTTCTAAGGGTCAAGAGACCCTTTGTTCTAAATGAAGTTAAAAGTACGACATGTTGGGGCGCCTGGGTGGCTCAGCGGGTTAAGCCTCTGCCTTCGGCTCAGGTCATGATCTCAGGGTCCTGGGATCAAGCCCCGCATCGGGCTCCCTGCTCGGCAGGAAGCCTGCTTCCCCCCCTCTCTCTGCCTACTTGTGATCTCTCTCTGTGTGTGAAATAAATACATAAATCTTTAAAAAAAAAAAAAAAGGTATCAAGAGTTGACTGTGAGGAGATTTGGCAGAAAAGGATGGAGAGGAGATCTACCTTCCCCCTGCAACCCCCCCCCCTTTTTTTCTTTTTGAGAGAGAGAGCATGCAGGCTCTACAGCCAGCCCAGTGCAGAGCCCAACACAGAGCTTGATCCCACCACCTTGAGATCATGACCTCAGCCGGAATCAAGAGTCAGAGGCTCAACAGACGGAGCCACCCAGGTGTCCCTCCCCTGCATACCCTTTCTGACTTTTTAATTTCCCACCACCTGCATGTGAGCTATTCAAAATACGCTACACTCCTTTTGCTCAGCAATTTTACACATGGTTTATTTCTCACATAGTGTTTTTGCAAGTTAAGTAGTTTCTCCCCTTCTCTGTGGTTTCACTTCCTGTGGTTTCAGTACCCGAGGTCCAGAAGCAGATGATCCTCCTTCTGCCATATTGTCAGAAGGCCAGCTGTGTGATAACACCATGCACAATGCCTGTGTCGTCTCCCCACGCTCTGTCTCATCACAGAGGCACTGTATCATCTCACATCACAAGGCAAAGGGTGGGTATGGTACAATAAGATTTTGAAGGAGGGAGAGAAAAACCACATTCTCATAATTTTTAAATTATTTTATTAATTATTCTTAATTTCCTACTGTGCCTAATTTATTTATTTATTTTTAAAAAGATTTTATTTACTTGACAGACAGAGATCACAAATAGGCAGAGAGGCAGGCAGAGAGAGAGGGGAAGCAGGCTCCCCACCAACCAGAAAGCCTGATGTGGGGCTCCATCCCAGGACCCTGGGACCATGACCTGAGCCGAAGGCAGAGGCTTTAACCCACTGAGCCACCCAGGTGCCCCTGTGCCTAATTTATAAATTAAACATTACCATAGGTATATATGTATAAAAGAAACATAGTATATATAGGATTTGGTACTATTCATGGTTTCAGGCATCCAGGGGTGATTTTGGAACATATCCTGCACAGATAAGAGGGTAATACTGTAGGCATTATCCCCATTTCACAGGTAAGTAGCAGAACCGGGATTTGAAAATAACCATCTAAGGCCATTTAGGTCATGGTCAAGGTATACCAGTTACCTCCCACTTCCTGTGGCCAGCTGCATTCATTACACGGCTCATTAAGTCCTCTTCCAGAAAGTTTAGAAATGAAGGTGGAAAAGTGACACTATAAAATCAATGTTTTGTTCTTTTTTCTTTTTAAGATTTTATTTATTTATTTGACAGAGAGAGAGATCACAAGTAGGCAGAGAGGCAGGCAGAGAGAAAGGGGGAAGCAGGCTCCCTGCTGAGCAGAGAGTCCGATGTGGGGTTCGATCCCAGGACCCTGAGATCATGACCTGAGCCAAAGGCAGAGGCCTAACCCACTGAGCCACCCAGACACCCCAATCTGTTTTGTTCTTACAAAAGCGTGAAGTCCAGTCGAAGGGACTGGAAGAGTTAAAGAGTAGAAGTCAACGCTTAAAATTCAGGTCTAATACCAAGGACTTCATTATTCGGCTTTCCTTTTGGGAGGCTTCACTGCCAATTAGTAAGAGGAAGTCAGTTGGGAAAAGATTATATCCCTTCCTACCATAAAATATGTATGAGATCATGTCTTTGTTTTCCCAGGCAGGGACACCAAAGTTTAGATTACTCTAACAACAACAACAACAAAATCCTGGAGCACCTGACTGGCTCAACCGATACAGCATGCCAGTCTTGATCTTGGGATCGTGTGTTCAAGCCCCACTTTGGGAATGGAACCTACTTAAAAAGTAATAATAATAATCTTGAGTATTAGTGAAATTTCATCTGCCTGCATCATAGCCTATAGGCTTGGAGATTTTTTTTGGATTTTTAAATTTATTTTTTCAGAGTAAGAGATCGAGCAAGTGTGAGTGGGGTGAGGGGCAGAGGGAGAAGGAGACTCCCCACTGACGAGGACCCTGGGATCATGACCTGAGCTGAAGGCAGATGCTTAACCAACTGAGTCACTCGGGCGCTCTAGCCTACATAGTTCTGGAATCTTCCCTGGTTCTGTGTGTCCATCACCTCACTCCTATTAGTCACAAAAACTGTGCTGTTCTGGTCCACCAAGACTTCAAGCTATATAACTTCAGCTTTGGCCGTTCTGCCACTCAGCATATTCTTAAACTCATTTGATTTTAAATGTCAGCAAACAGTTATGGGACAACTGCTTCCCATCAAGTCACAGGGAAGCTATTCAGATGAGTAAAACCCTCTTCCTGTCTTCAAGTAATTTATAATCTAATGGGATTAGCAAGGAGAGAAGTATAAACATAGAAAAAGGATTAATTAACTTGAAATAGTATCAGAGAGAATGTCCCAGAAAAGTTGTAGGCATTTGAGTTAGGCTTTGCAAGACAAGCAGACTAAATAAGAGATGATAAAGTCAGGGAGAAGGCTGCGGGGAGCATTCCAGATACACAGAAGGACACTAAAAACAGGCACACAAGCATTCGGGAGTCTCCCGAGCACATTTCTGGCTGCAGCTGTTCAAATTGTTTCCCTCTGCTCAAGTCCTTAACTCCATCCTCAATCACGTGACGCCCTGCAACACATCAGATGCTTTCCTGAAAAGATTTGAACCCAGCCAATAAAATGTCCATCAGATCTCTCTCGATTATATCAAAATTCTTCAGTATCATCCATTTTGCCCTCACCGTCTTTCTTTCTTTCTTTTTTTTTTTTTTTAAGATTTTATTTAGTTATTTGACCAAGAGAGTCACAAGTAGGCATAGAGGCAGGCAGAGAGAGAGGAGGAAGCAGGCTCCCTGTTGAGCAGAGAGCCTGATGGGGGGTCGATCCCAGGACCCTGAGATCATGACCTGAGCGGAAGGTGAGGGTTAACCTACTGAGCCACCCAGGCACCCACCCTTACCATCTTTCTGACAAATGTGTTTTTTCTTTTCTCTTCATGCTCTTTTTCATTGGCAAATTATTTATTGAGCTCACAGGCCAGAGTACTGTGCCAGGTGCTGGAAAACAAGCAGCGATAAGACCCAGCCCTTACCCTGTGGACCTCACAGTCTTCGGTGGGGAGGGGGGAAGGTGAGATGGGGGAGAAGAAAGTAAGACAAAAGTGAAGGTAGACACTGTAGCTGATAATCAATTTAAGACATTTTCCGTTATCCAGCTTGGCCCACTCCCTTCAACCAACACAGCTGCTGTGATAATTCTCATATCCTTATCTCTATCCTGACTCAGCTTTGAACTCTGGTTTACCACTTCCAGCTGTCTGGCAGTTGTGTATTTCTACCCACTCCGATCTACCTTATTACATCACGATGTAAGTGGATGCCAAGTTAACAGTGACGTAAAACTCACATCAGCTCTTTTCCAGCTCAGAACTCTTCAGTGGTTCCCTCTACCTCTGAATGAGGACAGGATTCAGTCTATAGTTCTCGGCATTGACTTCTGCGTTACCTTCCCAGTCCCGTTTCCTCTTTTGTTCACCTCCCTGGGCACCGTCAGATAACACTGCCTCCCTTTCTTTAATATGATTCATGCCCTCTTGTACTCAATGCCTTTGCCCACTGCATTTTTCCATAGAGAAACTCCTTTTTCTCCATCTCTTGACATGAAGAACTCCTATTCATTCTTTCTGGGTGCCTGGGTGGCTCAGTTGATTAAGTGTCCAACTCTTGATTTCAGCTCAGGTCATGATCTCGGGGTCATGAGATGGAGCCCCTTGTTGGGTTCCATGCTCAGCAGGGAGTTTGCTTAGGATTCTCTCCCTCTCCCCCTCTCCCACTCCTTATCTCTCTCTCCCCCTCTATATCTCCCTCTCAAATAAATAAATAAATCTTCAAAAAAAAATAATTTCCTTTCATTCTTCTAAGTCCCAAATCAATGTTAACCTCTTACGAAACCTTCCAGGTTATGACACTCAGACTAATGGCCTCTTCCCTCCCCACTCCCAACTCTTTGCGTCTTTGCAGCATTTTTATGAGAGGAGAAATGGTGAAAGACTTGGGCACATAGATTGCTAGATCCCCTTCCTATCATGCTGGGTGTGGACCAGGAGATCCTTGGGACATTCTGGTTATATATATGTCTGTTGCCCTTAATTGTCTTTGGCTAGGCTAGAATGCAATTCTGCAAGCCTTTATTGAATACACATTTACTGAAAACATACTCCATGCTTAGCACTGTGCTAGAGATGATATCAATACAAAGAAAATTATTTTGGGGCGCCTGGGTGGCTCAGTGGGTTAAAGCCTCTGCCTTCAGCTCAGGTCATGGTCCCAGGGTCCTAGGATGGAACCCGCATAGGCTCTCTGCTCAGTGGGGAGCCCGCTTCCTCCTTTCTCTGCCTGCCTTTCCCGCCTACTTGTGATCTCTGTCAGATAAATAAATAAAATTAAAAAAAAAAAGAAAAAGAAAATTGTTTTATGAAAGTGTTGAGGGCCAGGACGTGCCACCCAGAATAAGCCACTTTGCATGTGCATAAGAATTTCAAATACTAAAGGCATTTGAGTTCTTGAAGTTGCTTGACTTCAAAGCAGACCTCCTCTAAGAATTTAAGTGTAATAAATCCCCTCCTGAGAACAACTCTAATCTTCTCTTCTAGGAGACCAGAAATCAGCACCACACCCAGACAGACAAGATCAC